TATTAAATTTTTCATAAATATTTTTCTTTTTTTTTTCTTTAGTCTTTTAATTTTTTCGTTACTAATCTTCCTATTTTTCGAATGCTGTTTTTCATTTTTTATAAAAATTTTTTATTTTTCCTACATTTCTGATTTTTTTCGATTTTTCTAAGTTTTTATCATCTTGTGTTTAAAAGATTTTTTTAATTCGCAATAAAAATATTAATAAAATGAAAGCATCATCTGTGTCATCTCTTTCAGCAATTGCAACGCAGTTACGACGTAACTGCGCTGCCGTTTGACCGTAATCGAACACATGGGTTTAGAGTCATATCATGACCAAATGTTGAACTTGCAGGTTGTGACAGATGGAACTCGGGAAAATTTTTCGAATGGTATCAAATTTACCTATGTCGTTCGTTTAGGTTGATCTGTAGGGGGAAAGTTGATGATGGAGCAGCTTGGGATAGATATGATGATCTGGTAGTCGTTTCAAGATGTTGATCGCTTAAGAAGACATAAGCGGATTCTTCTTGGATGGGGTCAGGCTCATTACAAGGGTTTCCCTCACATTGACGAATGAGTGGTAGGATATGATATTGACTCTTATGCGAATGAGAAACACAGGTCCTGAGACTCGTCGAAACTGGCAAAGCAGATGCAGCGTATAGAGTATGGTGGAGTCTTTCGAAGGACATAAACTTGAACCCTACGAATTGGCTGGGTTTTTCGGTATTGAGTGGGCTGGAGAAGGCTTGGAATTTATCACTCGCCCTAGCAATCAATTGCTTGAGCTTCATATAAAATAGCTTGCTTGCACTGAGTTTAAAAATTATTGTTATACATGGAATTTCGCATTATGAAGCGAATAATGCTATTATCGTCGACTATCTCCGAAGGAGCGAGTCAATATTTGAGAATCGTATCTGATTAGTCTAGTCCTTGTAAATTTTGTCTGACAAACAAACAATAGCTAAGCATGCCTTCCATAACTCTGAAATATGGCATTTGCAATTGTGGCGTTTGTGTGGTTTAGTACTAACATTGTGAATTCATATTCTTTGTCTGTGTAAGTGTAAGAATATGTATATGCATGTATGCGGTATTGTATGAGTTTATGTGCAAGTCTTTGTTCCTCTTTCAGAATTGGTCTCCTCCTTCTCTTTCCATTGTGAACTTTCCATCTTATCATCTTGTACATAACTTCACTAATCCTGTCTTTGGGTCGTGTGAATGATTCAAACATTAGCCTTCACTCTTCTCTAGTTTGCTCACTCATATTGTGTAGTTAAAATAGAACATATGAGATATCTTCTTTGTTAGAAAGAAAGCTGATTTGAGTTAGGTGCAGCATCGCAAGATTGTCTCCTATCTATTTTGTCTTTTCGTTCTCTTTGCATCTCTGCTCTTCGCTTGCTTTTCGTTCTATGTCTATGAAGATAAAAAACTAAAGCATTTTGAGTAAATAACAACAGACATTAATCTGAAAAGAAATTATTGATTATCTGGATATGCCTGAAGACTAACGTCTGTAGTACTGCCACTAGCTATCTGTTTGGTGATAGAGATTCCACAAATTCTTACCACGATTTATCAAAAATTGGTTCCTTGCCTGTTTTTCTACAAACTACTGTTTTCGTCTCTCGGTGCACTCGCGAAATTTCACTTCACTTGGTGGATCAAGAAACGTAGTTCTTGTTTGCGGTCAAGCTGGAGTCTCACAAGGTCCTTGTTACATTTTACCGTACTGCTAGGACGTTGCCGTTTTCGATGACCGATATTCGCATCAACTTTCTGTTTCAGCTCACACCCAGTTGCACCAACTTTCCTTTTCGGTTGATTATTGGCTCTGCCACTGGAAACTTCAGTTTACACCGACTCGCATAGCTGCTCTCCGTTTTCCAAATTTCAACTATCAGTATGAAATAAATCAAAAACAAGTGGTTCGACTGTAACCAAATTATATTGAACTTCCATTGAAATCACTGTAGCCGCCACTCCAAAAACAATAAAACTATCCATGGACTCTAAGGATTTTAAAACTTTTTAGAAACCAGCATTCAAATCAGTAAACGAACTATTACGTAAAAATATTTAAGAACCATATGCGGCCGAAAATCCTTCATGTACGGGTTTTTGCGACCTCACAATACCATTCGAAATCAAATAACGCAAAACACTCCCTTTAGTTCGATCTTAAAACCAACTGTGTCATCAGTTAGCACACTTGAGAAAGCGAATATTTGCACAGAACACAATCCAAAAAAGCCATGCTACCAGCCACTGGTCAGATCGGCGCCCGCCTTCACCATCAACATGGCGCAATCTAGGAGCAATTGAAATATATCATACAGATCTATCACATACAATGCTCTTCTCACCGAAACAACCATCAAAATGAACATTTGCTCATAATATGCACCTTAACTCCTCTATCACCAACTACTACCCTGTTACACTGCCACCTGGGCTATGAACATAGATCAATTTAGTACCAATCGATAGATCTCATCGAGTTCTATCTGGTACAAATGTTTCCTCAACTGGTACAAGTTTCAAAATGAACATTAGGTCGGAATACTGACTTTTGCACTAAAATCAGCGCTTTTAAAGCAGTTTTTTGGGTTTTTGCAGCCGTTTCCCTCAAAAGAAATTCTTTGAAAGCCAGCCATTTTACAGCCTATTCGATGTTCTATCTGGCACAACAATGATCTTCTCTGGAACAAGTCCGTTGACGAATATTTCCCCAAAAAACTCAAACATGCTGCTAACTTTACTTGTGTTACGACCCGCCGGATTCCGACAGGATTCATCGGTATAGGTTAATGTTCTGAATATTCGCAAAAACCAAGAAAATTAAGGAGACTCATAAAATAAGGATATATAATCCAAAGCATGTTCTAGATGAATCAATATAATCTACTGGAATCGATGTGGATTGATTAGAATCCTTGGAAACTAAATAAAAAGACAGAGAAAGAATCGTGAAATTTCTGACATGGAAGACGAAGGAAATCCTGGAGATTGAAAAGAAGATGAGTGACGATGAATTTTGATATATGTCTTGATGGGTTCTCCGGCTTACACGACCTGATAGGATTCGTACATATTCAGGTTTTCAATATTTATATCATATTATTATGAAACTTGGCGGTTTCTGCTGAATTCTTGTGGACGACAATAGACTCTAATGAATAAGGATAAATTCTCCTTATGCCAAATATCTGATGTTTTTGCACAGTTCTTTGACATATCTGACAAGGGTCCCTCACGAGATCACCGTTTTTTTCCGAGGGAACAAGAAAATCTAAAAAAAAGTGTCTCTACGGAATTTTAAGATACTGAGACGATTTGAATCGGAATTCAATCAATATCGTGAACAATTTAGTACTGTTTTGCAACTGGAAACCATCCAAGAAGCTGTGAAATCCTGAAAAAATCGTGTAGTCACAGAATTTCATAATTTGAACAAGATTTAAACCAGAATTTTCACTGGGTTTTGAGCAGTTTACCAAAACAATTTCAATAAGGAATGTTTTAAGAAAGTGGTAAACCCTTAGAGCAACGTACAACCATGACACAACAATGATTTAGCTAGAATTAGTAGAAGAAGATCTTAAAAGCATTCTAAGTTCTTTTCCATTAATTTGATGTCAGGCTTTTGTTAGCATCTCAATGATATCCAGTTGAAAAAATATTTTTTGATTGTACCTCGCAGAACTGCATTCAAATTCCTTACCGATGTTATTCGATTTCTTGACAGAATCTTTCCAAGGTTTTCTAAACAGAAAAGAGGAGAAATGAACAGTCATAGTATTGATCTCTAGGTCTTCAGTTTACAAATCGATTAGTTTATCGCAGTAGATTCGACCAAATTATTTAATTGCACGTAATCCATCGACATGTTAAATTCTCTCTGAACTGTTAACTTGTATTCGAACTTTGTATAAACGCATATCACTCCACATATGATGCGTTATATAAGTTTCCAGGAAAGTTCATGGACTTTCCTCACAACAGAATTTCCGGAAAGTCAAATTGGATTTCCAGAAATGAAAAACAATTTCCACATGGGAACGGGTTTCCGGAAACGCAAATTGACTTTCCCAAAATCAAATTTTTTTCCGAAAATCGAAAACGATTTCCACAGGGCAATGCATTCATATGATACATTAAATTACTTGTCAAGAAACTCAATAGGTTTCTGGACGCCAAATCAATTTCCGAAAACTGCATTCCGTTTCCCTAGTGGGCATACTAGACATAATGAACATAATCGGTATCATGGACATTGGGTGCCGCGGAGGAAGTCACAGTTCATCGCTCTTGGTTCACCTTTCGCACAATGCGCCCATCAGGTCCACTACAGCCATTATCCCCATTATGTCCATTATGCCCGGCTCCCAGTCACGTTCAAAAAAAAGGAGTTTTCTGGAAACTAATAGAACGCATCAAATCCATCCAGGTAATAAAGATGCATCATCATCAACTACTGTATTAAACTTAATAATCGTGTAGCTAAGAAGGCCAAAGTCACATAAAAATACAAATCATTTATTTCCTATATATCGTTCTTGTATACAAATCAGCTTGTCTCTGCATGTATGTATATACATGATTGATTAGAACATGAACAAATGCAATAATGATTTGAAATATATCTCTTCTAATATCATCAATTGATGATTTGATAAGGAGTATTGAGCAGGAAAGATTCCGTCTTACAATAATGAATGAAGAAACAAAGTTTATCTTAGTGTATAAAAATTTAAATTTCTTCTAATTTCTGTTTGACTTGTAAAGGTTAGATTTAAGAATAGAACTGAGTCTTCAATGTTCACTCGATTTCGATTTGATTACTTATGCTTTTTGAATTCGATAATTACCTAGATTAGCTAAAATACTATATTCAACACTGACATACATGCTACTTTATTAAATTTCATCATTGTACTAAATTTGCTTACATGTCTTGTATGGTTAAAAAAAAATCTTTATTCGGTTTATATTTTGCTTTTTTGTTACCAATTAAGATCAAATTTAACTGGAAAATGATCACTGATGTCAAGTGCTTGATCTAATGTCATACCAAAGCGCTGTTGAATGTTTACTGTCGTATTACTTCCTTGTACAATAGCTCTCACAAACTTGTCACAATTAATAAGAATACGATCATATGTACATGTTTGTCGTGTATTTGTTTTAACTTCATTATTAATCATCCATACAAAATCAGCATAATTAATAGAACTAAAAAGTAGNGAATTTTTCGACAAAGTGACTGTCGGCAAAGTGTATATGTCGGCAAAACAATTTTTCGGCAAAGTGGTGTCGGCAAAGTAATACGTCGGCAAAGTAACTGTCGGCAAAGTGATACGGACCCCTCATAAAACTCTATAGATCATAACAGAAGTTGTGAGCATAGATTGTGGATGTGACTATTTTCTATGATCATGCATACATGCATAGAGTTATGCAGTCATCAATGGTGGTATTTTGATGAAAACGTGTATATAAAATAACCAAAAAAAGAAGAAAAAATTAAGAACTTTCGCTGTAGAATCCATACCATGGTACTTAAGAATATGTCTAGGATTTTTTGTTTTGAAAATTTTCTTCATTTATACTTTTCTCTACATTTTTTATCATTTTCTCCTTCAACTTAGGGTACAAGAATCATTATTGATGACTGTCGAACTTTACTTTTATGCTTATCATTCTCTGTGGGTGTGGCCACAAACGATAGTAGTCACACCCACACATCTATGCTCACAACCTCTGTTATGATATGTAGAGTTTTATGACAATGTGTTGCCTACAACATCATATTCTTAGTAGTAGTAAGACCATAAATGTAGAGGGAATATGAAAAATAGTGGATTGTTTCTACTTAGATATTTCTGAAAAAAGTCTACAAAAATTCATAATCATGGCTCTTTCTTTATGAGTTACGGTATCATTAACAATGCCGATATGTGTTAATAGAAGATAATAGAAAATCTGATATTTTCACAATGAACAAAACGTATTGAGAATTTTTTTATGCAAATTTTCAACTCCAAAGTCGATTTTTAAGATAATCTGAAGAGAAGATCAACTTTTTATTGAGAAATTCATTAATCTTTAGAGAATGAAGTTCTTATATGCACCTGCTGAAAATTTTTGTAGACAGATTAGTCTTTAGACTGATTAAAGTTGATTCATGAAATGTCTTGTTTCTTTTGTCTGTCACGTAGTTTCTTTTTTGTATCGTTGAAGTAAGTGCAAATATGACAACTATAATAGTTAGTACTTCTTAAAAGATAACTAATTCTGACACTTCGACTTTATTTCTTTTATTAACAACAAAGTCTATTTTCAAAAAACTAAAAGAATTGTAACTCAAGAAGAAGTACTCATGAACATGAGTTTTATCTAAATTCTTTCTAGTCTCCATAGAGTATACCTAATGATGTGAGACTTGTCTAAAAAGCAATTTATGACTTTTGTAAGATTCCTCTAGTAAATCTCTGTTAAATAATCGATAATGAAAATAATTGCATAGAAAAAAAAAACGAATGTCTTTTATTTGTTTTGTTTAGCATATAGAAATATTTATTTTAATGTCCCAACTATTTAATCAATTTAAAAGTTTCGAAACATCACAGGTAATCAACAAAAAGGCTTCGATCAAAAATCGATGTTTTCAATCAATCAAATAGTCTAAATATTTAGCCATGATCGATGAAATGAGATGAAAGAGTACTTTCTATTTGGATCTTCTAAGATATCAAAAAAAGACAAAAAAAAAATGGTGACGACATACAAGATATATTTATCATTTTATGTTTTACTTTTGTAATGAAAAAGTTGTTAGCGTAATCTGTGTGGGTTTGAAGGTGAAATACGATGTAGATGTTGTTACTAATCATAAGAAGATTGTTTTTTTTTCTCATGTATCTTGGAACAGATTTCTTCAGCCTTCTGTGACATAATCCTCCAGATATACAAAAAGGAAATAGTTAATACATTGTAACAAATAGTTATTGATATGCGGTCTGTCATCACACATCAATAGCGTCTGTCGTGGTCTGTGATGAGCTTTGATCAGTGTTTGTCACCGTCTGGGTCTGTGGATCCAAATCCGTATCCTATATACTTCAACCGTCCTTTTAGATCCGTATTTCAGACAATCATCTTTCTTTGATCTGTATGCATCAAAATGTTTTATCATCAGCTAATTGAAGACTAATCGATAGTAAAACGACGAAAATCCGGACTTTAAAAGAAAAAAAACGCGCATTTATTACGAGATAGTATTTTTACTTCTATTGAACATTGTTTTTCTTTATTTTTTCCTATATTTCGAAGAATATAAAAAACTAATAAATTAATGATTACAACAAAAGCAGATAAACTTTTAAGAAGTTTAATTGATGCAGGTTTATCATTAACTGATTTTACTATATTAGCAATAAAAATTATGCGTATTCAACGAGATTTTAAAACAGATAATGAAGGTCGACGTCAACGAGATTATTTACGTCAACAAAATAAATTACGTGAACAATATCATATTGAACAACAACTTAAAGAAGAAGAACAACGTAAAATAAAAGGCCTTGTAAAATTACGTGAATTAGGTTATGTAACTGGTGATGATACATCTCAAATACCAAATAATAATACAATAGATAGTATTGATCAATATTCAATAAATCATATTGGAAATAGAGATACTAATAAAACAAAAACTGATCAATTATTATCACCTTATGCAAAAGAAATAAACGATATGAAACAAAAACAACGTGATTGTTGTATAATATTTAATATTGATTATGATCTTCGATTACATCAACAAGCTCTTGAGCGAGCTTGTAGAAGAGCTAAGCGAAATATTTATGAGGTATTTTATAGAATATTTTTATTTAGTACAAAATAAAAATGACTGAATGAAAAAAAACAGCACTTTTTTTGCATCTATTAATTGTGAATTAAATAATTCTTGAGACAAAGAAATTAAGATTTGTAAGATAGACTAACGAGGGAGTAGTAACAATTGATTAATCGTTTTCTTCACCAAAAGTTACTAGATTGTAGATTGCAGATTAACAAACTTCTTGTCGGAGATTTTTTTTTCGATCGACTCAGACTATTGATCGTATAGAGTTGTCTATAGGACAATAATCTTTTGTGTTTTCCAAAAATGAACTTTAAGTAAAGTTCTATCATCTTGAGAATTTTCACATTGAAATTTCGATATGTATTTGTAATATGAATTCAAATATTTATATGTTCTTCAAAAAATAAATACGATTTAGAATTAAAATTGGGACGGTAGCCTATGTAATTCGATATGGTTTATCATCTGAAAATTTGAACGCAGAATTCTTTAGTCTGAAAAACAGATTTGCTAGAAAAAAACTAATATATGAAGATAGAAGAAGATTGCTTATGCTCATATTCAAGATCAGTATTTTTGATAACCTACACTTTCGTAGCTTTCGTTAAAAAAAGTGAATGATTAGTTGAAACAATTGTTCCATAAGTTCAAGTATACGACGATTGTTTTTTGTAATTGAATAATATCAGGTTCAAGATAGAAAAAAGTTTATTTTTTCTCGTTGTTGTTTTTCATAAGAATCGATCGATGGACAACGGCTAATGATCGTGAAAAAAAGTATGACAATTTCTGATAGAAGGGATATTAGTGCTGATGGAGTTACACTTTATTCTATTCCTTCATATCATATAATCGTCTCGTTTACATACATAGCACATGCTTATGTACGCAAGTAGAAGAAGAGAGAGAAGATAAGGTCAAGGAGAGAGCCGATATAGGAGAACAATAGGTTAAGGACAGAAGCATAAGAATAGAAAGGTAAGGACAATGTATAATATACGAGTGAGTGATATGGGAAGGTTAAGTATCATGTATGAGATCCAATCAACTGGAAGCGTTACAAAAAGTTCATAGTGATAGGTTTTCAAGTATCAACATTGACAGATTAGACAGTAGTGACTGAATTCCAAAGTTTCTGAACTCTTGGAACTCTCAAAAGTGCAACTTCACTCGCAGAACGTATTAAATTTTCGGAAACATGTAGTTGTAGATTTCAATTCTTTCTACACTTTTCCCGCCCACCTCAGCCACGCTCATATTTGAATATCCACGGAAAAGATGGTATCGTATATTTGTAATTTCTGGTGGTATGTCTGAAAACTGGAATTTCTGCATGTAAGACATCACTGCAGTTATTAAAAATAAACTTGTTCATAAGCAAAGCATTATGACGTCAACATCGTCTGAAATGCTAGGGTTAATCTGTTATCCGGATTTCAACAAACTTTTGAGTTTTTACAGTTGCGTCAGTTGTTAGAACTGCTTGAATTCACTGAGTTCCGAGAGTTTCGTAAGTGCAATTGCGCTTTTGAGGGTTCGATGAGTTCAAAACGTACAGGATCCGAACATGTCTCACTATCTTAGAGCGATCTCATAAAATTTCTTAATTATGCTATTCGTACTGCTATCCTAGGTTGCATTCATTTCAAATCTCACTATATATCAAAACCTATGTGTTAATTCTAACCCGAAATATTTTCTTATTCACAGCTTCGTGCTGAACGTTTTAATCGTCCTGAATATCGATCGATTTTATCAGTTGAAACAACAACACCTCATAATAAGTTAAAACAAACTATACGTGAAATAAATAGAATATTTCTTGATACTAAATCAAATCAAGATAAAAGACATTTACAAGAATTATTAACATATATTAATCAATTTGAAGGTGATATTGATTTATTAATGTGTCAAATGCAATATGAACCAAAAGTAAAAGAAACAATTTTATTTTCATCAGTTACGAATGATATACTTGATCGAATGAATCTTATTCTTTATTGTGCACGTAGATTATCTGAAAAAATTTCAATTGATGATAATATAGATGAAATAAATGAAAATATTGAAAAAGAAATAAGTAATGATTTATTAAATATTCCAATTAAAATAATTTATATAATAAAAATAAAAACAAATAATGATATAAGTTCATCATTATCACATGATACAAATGTAAAAATTAAATTATATGGTACATATAATAAAACATCAGATATAATACTTACAGAATCAACTAATAAAAATAAATGGCAATCAGGACAAATTGATTTATTTAATATTGAATTAAATTATTTAGGTGATATATATGCTATTGAAATTTGGCATGATAATCAATATTCGTCATGGAAAGTTGATTGGATTGAAATAATTGATGATGCTGCAAATATATATCGTTTTCCTTTAAATCGTTTATTTGATAAATATTCGAATGAGAAAAAAATTCATTTTATTATTCAACGTGATATTGGTCCTGTTAATCATTTACCATCCAAACCTTTTAAACAAATGAAACCATATAAAAAAATTGGATTTTCAACATATACAATTCAAGTTAAAACAGGAAAACAACCAAATAAAGTTACAGATTCATCAATATTTATACAAGTAAAAGGTGAAAATGGAAGTTTTGCTGGTAAGAACTTCTTTTTTTTTATAATTCTTATAATTAAATAATAAAAAAGTAATTAAATTTTTTCATTTTTTTTTTCTCTAAAGATAATTTATGTAGTGCAAATTCAGCTTTTAAAAATTCTGTATTTGAACCTGATCAATTAGATACATTTTATTTTATTTGGCCATATTTAGCAAAAATAAACTCTTTACAATTACTTATTCAATCTGAAGGTACACAACCATTATGGTTTTGTGAATATATAATTATTCAAGATGATCAAACAGATAATCAATATAAGTATAAAACAACCACGAAAACAAAACAATCATTTGAGTGTATTTTATATTTTTCTTTTATAGATTTATAATTAATCAATTATTTGATGGTTCAAATCCGGATAATAGAAATTTAACAAGACATTTAACTGTTTATCCAGAAAATACAAGTAAAAATTTATTTATTCATGTTTTAGATTTAATTACTAAAATTTAGTATTCTTATATTTTTAGATCAAACAGATACTAATAAAGGTATGTAAGTATTAACCATATAATTATCTATACCTCTCTCACGTGCCAACAGAATAGAAGCTGAACGTATTCGAACGAGTGTAAAATAAGAATGTATATCATCGAATAGATCAATTCATCGCTTTTCGCTGTTTAGTTGTAACTTCTTTGGTATATCAGATTTCATTTATTCTACATGCTTTCTATTAAAAAAAAAAACGAATTACTTTCAAGACTCGAAAAATTATGTACGTATGGACATTAGTGAAAGATAGTTGTTCAAGAACTGGTGAATAAGAAATAGACATTCTATAATACTATGCTGTTATGAAGTTATACACAGTCTAGAGATGAAACGGTATAATCTTGCATTAAGTTGATAGATATATGAACAAATTTTCAAGTGAAAAATAAGGTATCTCACAGAGTCAAACGATGATCAATTGAAATTACGTGAGAATTTATGAGACTCTAAAAACAAGTACTAGTATGAGATAAGTGCGATATCCATTATTGAAATAATCATAAGATGGGAACTACCTATTTCATAAAAATGAAAAGCTCTCATTTGATAGTATACAGTTTACTTGATACTTTATTCAAGATAATTTAATTATATCTGCTTATGTTTCTGAACTATGTATGATCTTGGAAAATGACGTCATCTGGCAGAGTCTTATACAAGCTCTTCTTAAGTTATTCAATGCTTGATACTTTCTCAAATCAAAGTGTCATAATAACTGTGACTTAACGTATCTTAATATCCACAACGTGCTGCTGATGACAGATGAACAAGTAAATGAGAAACATAGTATAATGATAACATAGAACAGGGAAACTAGAGAATCAAGTTTTTAGTTCGTGCGTAACTATCGAAAGTTCTTAGACAGTTTGAAAGCTTCAATTTATTGAATCTTGTGCACTTCTGTGCTTGTAAGCGAATCAAATTATAGCTATAATACAAAAAATTGCTTTCAATAGAAGCTCACTTCGAACGTTTTCACTTGCGAAACCAATTAGAAGTCTAGTACGGTAATGTTCTGTGACAAAGAAGATGGTTAGTCTTTCTATATTTAAAAATAAAACTGATATCGATTTATTATTATTTCTAGAAAAAGAAAAACCTGGTTATTTAATAAAACTTAAAACTGGTGAAAAAGGTTTATCAAATATGTCAACATTACCACCAATAAATATAATATTAAAAGGTGAAAAAGGAAAATCTGAACCATATACATTAAAATCATTAGATAATAAAAAAATATTATTTCAAGAAAATCAAACAGATGAATTTATTCTTTCATCAAAGTATTATGTTGGCCCAATTAAATCTTTACAATTATCACCAAATGGTGAAATTGATAAATGGTTTATTGAAACAATAATTATACGAGATATTACACAAGGACAAGTCAATTTTCAAATTAATTATTTTTGTAATAATCAAATTCTGTTTTTTGTCTATTGTGTAGGATTATATTTTTCCAATATATAAATGGATTAATACAGAAGATGGAACAGATAACTTAACTATTCAACCAATAAATGGTTTATTTTTCTTTTTTTCGTTCTAAAAATTTTATAATAAAAATAAAATTTTTAGAACGAAAAGCAGATTATATAGTTTATACTCGAACAATAGAAAGTGAATTAAAAGGACCTGATCGAACAATAAAATTACTTATTCAAGGAAATAAAGGCAAACAAGAAATTGAATTAAATAATCCAATAACAATGTATAATACATTTCAACCTGGACATAAAGATGAATATTATATTGAAAATATGAAATCATTAGGTGATTTACAATCAATTGAAGTTGATATAACACATCCAAATATTCATAAACTTGGTCTTGATTATATTGAAATCAATGATTTAAAAACTAATGATTCATATAGGTAAAAATAATGAGAAAATAAGAAAAATATAATTGAGTGGTTCATGAAAAAGAAGATACTTTGATTTTCTTTTTATTTAAGACAAGAAATGTAGTTCAAAGATTATTTCAAGCCAGACCGAAGCGAACGGAACAAAACTAGCTTCAAACGATCTGAACGTGCCCTATTCCAGCAGACTAACATGTTTCGAGCTACTTTTGTCGAACATTACGTACCATTTGAAATGCTTGTTTGAAAATCGTTCGAAATATTATGTGACATTCAAAACAACTAGCTCGGAATATGTTTGTCTCTTGGAATATAACACGTTGAGATTATTCAGAACTGGTTTTGTTTTCGTTCGTCTGTTCCACACACAGTGTTTTTTCTCCGTTCGCTTCGGCCTTTATTGTTGATTGTTTACATCAGTTCGCATCAGTTGTATTATGCTCTATCCAAAGCCGTCATCGAAATTCATGGAACAGAACATAAATGCTTCGGATTCTGAATTTACTCTTAGGTTTTTCCAATCCAAAGCACAAATCTCAAGATCAGTTGGAACTGATCGAAAAAAAAAACTAGAAAATGCGAATTTTTGACCACTGCCGAAACTTTTATTTTCTATTTCACCACTTTCGATCACAGTATCCGATCGAGCAAATAAAAACTGACCAAGACTGATGTAAACAATTGACAGGAAGCTGTATTGTTAATGAAGGAAAAAGATCATCATTAGTCTCACATTCTAGAAATCAGTGCATATCTATTCAAAGCTCCTTCGATAGAGAATTTTTCGCTCTGCGCAGCATTTGGCTTTGTTTTTTGAAATGAATTTATTTTCGCATCGACAAAAAAACTGAAAAAGGGTGACAGCCACTTAGCTGCCCAATTGTAACTAACACAAAAGCAAAACAATTATAAAAAATATTTTTTTAATAACAGTTCTATCCAAATGTGAAATACTTGGCATAGTATTTCATGAAATCATACATTTCACACTATTTAGTAAACATTTCGAAAAATAATTTTTCAACAAAGCATTACAAAAAACATAAAAGATCTTTTTGGCAAGTTTATGCCTTTTCTTCGTTTTGAGTTCGGAACAATGAAAAGATTTTTGTTCTTTGGTTCCATTGTTACATCATTTCGTTCAGGATTAAATATTTTATTTGATGTTTTATTAATAAATCGAACGTAGAAGATGACGGACTTTTGGGAACATGAAGTTCAAAAGAGCACTAAAAAAGAAAAACACTGTCAGGAGTAGAATAAAATGAAACTTATGCCATCAAACAGTATTTCTATTCTTTATCAATCACTTGTTATTTTATTCATTGATTAGATTTAACATTAATCGTATACTCGACTCCAAAAATCCGAAAATGATTGCAAAAGCTGAACCAATTTCACGATGTAGGTTATTTTCGTAAGAAATATTTATAATTTTCTAGTTTTTATTATGATAGCTATTAAAAATACAACATCAACAAAAATGAGTCATAATCGACTTTCATTACCTAATATTCCAAGTACAATATCAGCTAAGAAAAATTTTGGTAAGAAACTCATATGAAGAAAAGCAAGAAGAAATTTCATAAATTTATTTTACAGATCAATTAACAATGGATATACCTCAAGGAGCTAAACCATCAATAAGTAATAATATTCAATTGATAAAACTAAAAAAGAAAAAGAAAATCTTTTTTTTTTTTTCAGATAATAATTTTATAGTTTCAATCAAAACCGGTGATTCAAGTTTAATGGGTACAGATTCTAAAGTTCAATTACAATTATATGGAGATAAAGGCATATCAGAAAAGATGAATCTTAATAAATCTGAAACAAATTCAAAGAATTTATTTGAAAAAGATAATTATGATACATTTTCTTTAAATATACCCGATATTGGAAATGTATTTAAAAAAAAAGAAAATTCAAGTAAAATCTTTATTTTAATTTTCTTTTGTAGTTAAAATCAGCAACTCTTTCTATTGATGGAAAAATCAAAACTGAAGTAAATTTAAAAAAAAATTATTCTTTATTATTTTTTCGATTTTCTTAGTGGTCAATATCAACATTTGAAGTTATTGAAGAAAATTCAAAAAAGAATTATAAAGCTAATATAAATAAAAAATTAAGTAATATAAATAATGAATTAATAATTCATTTAAATGAATATTCAACTAATTTTGTAAGTTAATTATGCTTTTTTTTTTTTTTTTTTATTAATAATAAATGATAAATTATTATCGAAAATAGATTCATCATATGAATAAATCTTTAATAAATAATTCAGAAAAAAATTTTTATAAAATAAATATCAAAACACTTAGAAAAGAATTTCTTGATCAAAATATTAAACTTCAAATTGAATTAATTGATGAATATGAACAATCAGAAATCATAATACTTAATCAAATAGATAATAATCAAATTCATACATTTACTATTGATTCAATAAAAGATCTGCTAAAAGTTTTCAACTTATTTTTTTTTATAAATATAAGAAAAAAAAATATTATTTTATTTTTATACTTTAGTTAACAAATGTTAAACTTTCATTAATTGGATCGAAATCAAACAAAAATAATTTATACCAACCAGAATTTATTGAAATAATTCATCCAAAAAGCAATAGAATCTATCGGTTTGATCAAGAAATTCTTTTCTA